GTATAATATATAATACATATAATTAAAAGTATCAAATAAAGATATAATACATATATCTATATATATACACATATGTATATATAATGTAGCATACCTCATACTACTAGCAAAACCATGTTTAATATACATATTCCTATTCCACTAGAAATGGACGTAGAAGAAATCCGCCGTAACCCYCAATCGGTGAGGTCCGCAATTACTGCAAATGCAGCATCCGCTGCACCCATCGCTGCACCAAAGAGGCAACAAGGCACAAGCCCGCACAGCCAATCATCCGCTCAACCAGTCGAGGAAGCGGGCGAGGAGCAGTTCGAGGAGTATGTACCGCCCGATGCAGCCTATGCCATCGACCCCATTTCTTGAAGAAGTGTATGATTTTCAAGACGATGACGTCCGGTCAGCGCCAACAGATCGCTAGAGCCCACGGCCACTGCATGACATGCTTGGCAGACACGCACGTTACGTTGGAGTGCATGTCACCGACCGCATCATATATTATTTCACTACTTTCCTCGACGCGCTTATCCGTCAACGCACGCCAGTCACCGGCATGGTCAACAGCGCTCTAAACCGTCTCGAGGTGCACGTTCGCAGACACCACTACATCGTAACCAGCGAAAGGCGACTGGTTTCAGCGTTGTAGTGAGCACCTTGCAGAAACTGCAGCGGCTTCTAGGTAATTAATTCGCCTAKGGGGGCCGGGATGTTTATGCGACTTCATGGCATCCCGCCCCTCAACACAAACTTCATCACGACAAACCACATTCAGCACACGACACAACATTCACCACACCACATTCGGCACACAACGCAACATTCATCACACAACTCATACTCATCGTGCAACACAACAGTCAGCACACAACCTACATTATCATGCACGCAACCCCACGCAACAATCCAACCACACCACACACACACCATACGTTATCGTTTTCACCACCTAATCGATCAAAAAGGATTGGTTAGATCGGSATGGCCACYATTCGATTTACGCCCGTATACGATAASTTTCGCCAGCTCTTCAATTSGCACGTTCAATTYTAGTTTGAATTTGTGGTCCAAATTTGGAATCTCCTTCCGATYTCGTGTGTGGTTGTGCAGTAGCAGCAGCAGTGCACAGTTTAATAACAATATAAAAWTKTGTTAAAATATTGAARTTWTGCCCTCAAAAAGAAATATAATAAATTGCTGAATTTTTATTTTCCAAAAAATAAAAATCTTTCATTTAAATAAAACAAAAAGGGATACATAATTAAAAGTCAGCGTAAGTATACCTCGCACATACCCAGCGGAACTAAGTGCAACAGACACWTACACAATATCAAAAGTATTCCTTGTTGACAGATAATAAGTGTTGCCAKAATTACACATTTATCAAATGAATWAAAATGAATATAAAAACTVAAACGCAGGAAACAAATACCATCTGAAATAAATTTTCCATTGTAATAAAAAAAAGTTTCATGGCTTATGTATGTATGTATGTTTAATTGCATCTAATAATTTAACAAAAGGATCATGATTATTTGCAATATTTTTTGCCAAATATATTCAAAAATTAAATTGGAAAATTTTTCACAATTATTATAATTGTCCTTAATAAAATAACGTTTAATTACGCGCCGATAGGACTTGAGGCATTGAGTGTGGGTCCCGCCCTCGGCGACGAACGGATTATCGGGGTCGCTGTGATTAGCCCTTCGGTGCTCATACYCGTGACTGGATAGACAGTCGTATGCCTTCAAGCAATCAGTCCATATAATACTGCCTTTCGCTACGTGCTTCTATATCAAAGGTATGAGCACCTCAGCAGACCTGACATTGCCGGAATATACCTCTAGCTTAAGGTCGTCATTCCCATCCTCAACCATCCAAAGAACCCAGTGGCCTTCGACTCTCCGCCCTAAAATAAGAAAAGATATATTAATTACATAAACAAATTATATTTTTATTATTACGTTTGTTGTTTTTTCTCTTCCCAAATTTGCTTTCAWCTATTTGAACAGTTTTACCAGGGCCACCAATTTTACCTATCGCTACCTGATGGTCAACTTGGTATAATACTACGGCTTCGCCGCAGTAATTATACCAGCCACATATAGTAGCGCTAGATAAAACTGGTTCACTTCCGCATGCGACCAATGAGATGCATACGCATACATTAGATAAAATATCTGCGGAAGTGGAATTTTCACATTGTCGAACCAAGTATCGCTCGACCTTGCCAATGCTGATCGGTTCCGACAACCACCTTTCCGGCATCAGAACACCCCAACAGTGCAACTTTTATTTAATGACAGCGTCATTGGCACTTTATGAGTACGGCAAATTTTAGATTTTTAAATCAAACCTTGTTCTTCGGCGAAGGAAATACATTTTTCTTTAGAAGCAAATGTTTGGATTATTTTTAAAATATTCCACATTGATTTCACTTCCGACGCTTTGAACACATTGGTTCGCTTTATGRCACCTCGACTGGTTGACGCTCCGACACAATCTATTTAAATACCTTAAGACATATTTTTATCAATTTAAAACTTATATTATATTACTTACCTGATGAATTTGCGCTCATTTTTTAAAATACAACTTAACTTTTACTAATTATATATTATATATTTACGGATATATATATTTTAAATTTTATACACTTTAAATTTCTAACCTGGATTTATACCTGTATAAAATCGCGGAATTCAAATGAAATGAATATGAAACTTATTACAAAACGGGAAAAAAGAAACGGTACATCGCTTAGTTGTAACAATAACCGTTATAGGAATTGTAGTTTAAAAAGGGGAAATGCGGGATTGATAAATGTGAAGATAATCACAAAACGGACAACAAAAGGAACGGTACCTTGTTTACTTGTAACAATATCCGTTATAGAAAATGTGTAGAAATATACACTACTTAACATAACTTTTAGATTACCTTTGTGCATTGGCAGCCTTCGGCCACGCTTAAAAAACCCTTTCCGATCCAACACCAGGATAAACATTAGTCCATTCGTGTCCCAATTCTTTCTGCAATGGCGGCCTTCGGCCGCGCTTCAAAAAAAAACAAACCCAGGCCGATCATATCATTATGATATATCAAGAGGCCAATGATTTATGTATTTGGGGTATAATCCTATTTTTTATTAATTTTTAATCGTTTGATAAATGTGTAATTATGGCAACACTTATTATCTGTCAACACGGAATACTTTTGTTATTATGCATGGAATCAAAATTGTGTAAAATATAAAATGCTTATTTTAAGCAAATAACTAAATAATCACTGAAAAATAAATATAAAGAAACAATGTAATGAAGTGTAAGAGCATAAAAAGTGCATAATATTATATAAATAATGGCACGATTACGATTCCTTTAGCGCTGCGATTTAAGGGTATAATCYGAAAGAGGATAATCTCTCGATTAAAAAATTTATACACATATACCCTTCTCAGACTTACCGTTTACGAGTTATTTGTATTTAAAGTTCCTCAATTTTATATGCRATTTTTTATTTTTATATTTTCATTTACATGTCATGACAAATACCGGTGTTGCCACATATTTTGTTTTGTTCATATTTTTTTTGTGTCGAACTACTTTCTGCACTGGCGACCTTAGACCGCGCTTCAAAAAAAAAATAACCCTGGTCGGTCCAACACCGGGGTAATCATAGTTCTTTTGTGTCGAACTACTTTCTGCACTGGCGGCCCTCGGCCGCTCTTCAAAAAAAAAATAATCCTGGTCGGTCCAACACCGGGGTGTTCATAGTTCTTTTGGGTCGAACTACTTTCTGCATTGGCGGCCTTCGGCGGCGCTTTAAAAAAATAACCCTGCTCTGTCCAACACCGGGGTGTTCATAGTTCTTTTTGGTCGAACTGCTTTCGGTTCTGGCGGCCTTCGGCCGCTTTTCAAAAGGATAGAAATACTTAAAAACTTTGCATTCTATAAATTTTTTCTATTTATTATAATGTTT